CCATCACCCCCGTCACCCCCGTAATCCTTGTAGGAAGATGCCCGCCGATGACAGGGTGGTCGTCCTTGACATGGCCCACATGGACGTTGAACCCCTATCAGGCTCCCTCCTCAGCAGCGCCGCCACCACCCCCACCGCCGCCGCCGCCGCTGCCGGCGCCGCCCTTGGCGCCCGAACCGGCAGCTGGGGCCTCGGCGGCTCGCTGGACGGCTCGGCGCACCCGCCGCGCGGCGGCGGCGCGACGTCGCCGGCTGGGCAGCAGCAGGCGGAGGCCGCGGGGCTCGCCCGCACGCTGTCGCTGGTCCATCACGGCAGCGGCCTCGTGACGGCCACGTACTTACTCGAGCCCTCCGCCCACGGCGGCTCTCAGAACGCAGCCGCCGCCGCCGCCGCAGCCGCTTCCGCGAACCCGTCGGCGAGGGGCCGCGGCGGCAGCGCGCACGGGGGCGGCTTGTTTTACGAGGGCTCCGCCCACGGCGGGCAGGAGCTGTTCAAGAAGGCGGCCGAGGCCGCGGCCAGCACGCGCCAGGAGCGGACGTGGCACGCGGGCTCCGCGTTCGGCGGCGGCGACAGGAGCGTGCGCAACGGCGGGGCGGGCGCGGCGCCGCCGCTGACGGCGCTCGAGGAGAATTAGGCGGGCCGGACATTCAGCTGCCCAGGATGCAGGCTCCAGGGCGCCGGGGCGAACTCGGGGTCACTCCCCGAGGCGGTGGCAATGGGGTGCGCCCCTGGCGGACCCCCTCGCGGTATGTGAAGGGTTGCCTGCAGCGCGGCGTCTGGGGTGGCGCAGCCCCGACCCCGGCGTTCTGATTCGAATTCTGGTCTGGGAGTCGTGGAGGCGGCTGCGTTGCCTTTGAGGCGCCGCGCCTGCGTGCGTCCTCGGGCGTGGCTGTTTGATTTGCAGGACGAGGCGTCGATTTATCAGAACAACCAGCATTCCAGTATTGCTTGATGGCCCAACACTAGTGCTCCTTTGGCTACTTTTCAAACCGGCGCAGGCAACATCTGGCAGCGATGTCAGCTGAGCCTGCTGCTAACCCATGTTCGCGGATCCTGGAAAAACCACAAGTGCCACGCACCTGGCATCTCCTGCAGCAGTACTGGCTGCTGCATTCCATCCTCACTCACTCACCTCACGTGCCGGCCTCTACCCATCGCCCTGTTCTGTCTCTTGACACCGCTCTATCAACTCATAGGCTGTGCGCATGTGCATGACGCCCTGGCAGCCACGAAAGCGTGCTGCTCAACCGCTCCTGCATTATCGGGCTTTTTGTGGGTTGTGAGGGCCTGAATGCTGCGGCTGGACGGGGCATTGACTTGCAGCCGCGAGTGCGTCGGCATCGTGTGCTGTACCATATGCACGCTTCGGTCCACCAGTAACGATGCTCTGGCTGCCTGAGAACGGGTAAAGAGGAATGGATGCGGGGCTGACGAGAGTGTCGATGCTCACTGTTGGACACCTGAAGTGACGCGGGTGACGCTGACGCTGGCGCTGGAGAAGCCAATCAAGCCTGTGACAGTGTTATTTGACGCATCACCTCATCCAGGCAAGCCGGAACCCGATATCATCAGGCCTGCAGTGGGTACATACAAACCCAGTCAAGCAGCTTGAGCGATCTCATGAGCAAACGAGTGCTGGTGGCGGTCAAGCGGGTGGTGGACTACAATGCAAGGATCAGGGTCAAAGCCGACAAGGTATGATGGGGCTGTGGGGTGACGCAGACTTGGTGACGCTGCAAAACACCGTGATCCGAGCTGGCGCGCCCCTTGCAGACGGGCGTGGACCTAGCCAATGTCAAAATGAGCATGAACCCCTTCTGCGAGATCGCCCTTGAGGTGCGCGCCGCTGCATACGCACCCGCCTTGGGACGGTGTTTTGCTCACGCTCGCGGCCGCTTGAAGCGCGCGTGCGCATCCACCTGTTGGCCCCCCTGGTGCGCCTCAAAGGCGCGCCCCTTCAACTTACGTTCTGTGATCAAATCGGAACGGCGCATGCTGTGTACTCTTAGGAAGCACTGCGGCTAAAGGAGAAGAAGCTCGTGGATGAGGTGGTCGCGGTGTCCGCAGGGCCGCAGCAAGTGCAGGTGCGGCAGCCGGCGGCGAGGCAGCAGCAGCAGCCAGCCAGCGCCCCGCCCCCATCCCCTCCGCCCGCACCGCCGCCGCTCGGCCGACTCCCTACCCGCCGCGCCTGCGGCCGACGCTGCTGGGGATTCCAACGCCCGCATGCCAAACTCCTTATCTAGCATCGAGCCGCTGGATGGCTGACTGTCTGAATTGCAGGCGCTCGGCGAAGCCGACAACCTATTGCATATTGATGGCCCCCACCTGCAACCTCAACCGCAGGACACCTTAAGGACCGCGCTGGCCATGGGCGCCGACCGCGCCATCCACGTCAGCACGCAGCAGCAGCCGCCCGTGGCGGACCTCCAGCCTCTCGCGGTCGCGCGGCTGCTGGCGGCGGTCGTGGAAAAGGAGCGGCCGCGGCTGGTGCTGCTGGGGAAGCAGGCGATCGACGATGACAGCAACCAGACGGTGGGTGACGCTTTGACGACGTCAGATGACGTCAGATGGTACGGAGCAGACGACGGCTGTCCCTGTGGCGTTTGCAGCGTTGCCGGTGCAGCGGGCTCGATCTTGGTTGTGTTGTGGAGAGAGTGTGTGTGAGGGTGTGTGTGGGGTATGTGTGTGCTGGAGCGCTATCCACTGCGTGAGGCTTGCAAAGCCCGCTGTTTACAAGCGCCTGCGCC